AATGCCGAGATGAACTTTTGAGTAGATTTTAATCACAGTGTGAGATGATCTGAAACTCTGATAGATATTACTAAACTCTTAATGTAACACATTACAGTTTGGATTATTAACCTATGACTGAAGGCAAAACTCACTTGTCTCTTAGGCTGAGGAACCAGTAGCCTTTGCTTGGGGTAACCTTGATATTACCCTTTCTGTTGGCTGATTGTCTGGCCACCCCCAGGTCCCAGTCCGTCTTCCCACCCACCTCTACCTGTTCACAGGAATACAAACAGTAGTGCCCTAAAAGTTAGACAAGTGAGCGTGTGGCGGCAAGGTTGCCGGTTCACTACCTGGACTGGCAGGGTAAAATCTAGGTTTATCAGTTGATAAAAATTGCACTTGCCCCGCCCTCATTAACACCACTGTGGTGCCCTTCAGCAACTCCCTTAAACCCTGCTCCTTGGCTCGCAGGTGGGTCTGTGGCTGTATACAGGGCAGCTTCCAGGTGGGAATATGTCAATGCAATAAGAATGTTCCTACAAAACAGAGGAGAGGAGGCCTCTCAGAGAACCTGCTCTAAATAATAAAATAAAAAACTAATAGCTTTAAAATAATTAAGACAAGGTTATACAGTCAAACACTGTCTGCAGAGGGCATGCATGTTAATTGGCAATGTGTTTACTCATGATCACAAACCTCAATCGAGGAAACTGACATCATGTTAAGTCGGCAAAACAGTTGTGCATTGTAAGAAATTGGTCTTGATTTGCTCTTTATTACAAGTTTACACAAACAGGATTACTTGAAAAACATGCTGATTATGTTCATACGGGATCATTATTTTCCTATTATTATATAAAGCCATTTTAATTATATTTTTATACCACACATTTCTTTTCTTTTTGTAGTTCCAGAACTAGAGAATATCAATTAATACATACAGTACTCTTACCTCCCAGTAATGTCTCCCAGAGGAAATTGCCTCCCTCCCCAGAACACAGATGACTCTGTCAAACCTCTCGGAATTGTCTGGAAGCAGCTGGGGTCGATCTCCACACCTCACCTGCAGAAAGACAGTTTTTTTATTCCAAACATTATAAACACACCAGATTTACTGATACACAGAACCAGTTAGGGATTCTTCGATCTGCTGCCCATGTTTACACAGTATAATGTAGAAAACATTCATGGTAAAGAATACATCTGAAAGATGAATTATTAAGTGATATAATAACTGAATAGGCGTCTTACACTTTTCATGTCCTCTGACAGAATCAGCCTGGGGTGGGCAGTGTTGGAGTCCAGAGTTATATCCACTGTGTTGGAGGAAAATAAAAACAAAACAAATCTTTATTTTAGTCATATTTCATGACTACAAGCCGACTGAGCTGAATGATGCTTTTACATGATTCAAACTAACATACCCGCATACTCCTGTACCCTCTTCTCCCCTGCATAAAAACAAAACAGTTTCATTAAAACAGAACACTCACTAATGCATTGAATAGATTTATACCACTGACTGGTGGTGGAATGCTCACACAACTACATGCAGTATAACTCAAGTATCACTCACTGGCTTTCATCATCAATATTAAACCACAAATGTAGGTGGATGGCAGATATCATTCACTGGTTTATGCACAGTATAGACCCTGATCATGAGTCTAAGGTGGAGTGGGAGTGGACACTCACTGGGCTGCGTTTGGACTGGACTGGGCTGCAGTACCGATGCAGTAAAACCTGGAAAGGAACAAGGTGACATGTATCAAGAACAGAGCACCGGTCTCCTTAACTCATAAAGGCTTAGAGAAATCTTTGAGTAACTCTAATTTAACCTTGCTCAGTGTGGTTGTTGCTACTTTGTGTGTTTCAGATATTTATATTACATGCTTTCTCTCTATGCAGGATATAATGAATTCTACCACCAGAGGGCACTGTTGCTGTCTTTTATGTCTATTATATAGGGTAGTGCTGTGATTAGTCCAGAGGTAACAGAGAGGACACCTCAGCATAATCTACTGTGTATTGTGCCTTTAGTTTTTAAAAAGACAGTCACTCTGTCTGAATGTGCATCTTTACTTTGAGCACACTGTAGAAGAAAATTCTGATGTTAAAACAAGCTAATCTTTGTTTAGCCTCTAAAACTACTCGTTTACACCTAGACTATAATATCAATCACCACTGATCAGCTTTTTCTTATGCTTCTACATAAACAAGGCAACTTCCAGTCAGATTTCTTTGTTGTTTAGTGTTTTGTTGGTTTTTTCAAGTCATTGACCTGTGTTTGAAAGGGTCTTGAGCTCTTCCTGGAACCTCTCCACCACAGCTGCCAGTGACCTATAGATGGACCCTGTCCCCAGGTCAGAGTTCAGGGACACCCTGGACCAGTCCTTGGTGGGCGCAGGACTTGCAAGGAAGGGGAATGACTGGAAAATAGGTGGACATGAATGGAAGGATATCAGCTCAGCTCATGTTTCCCACAGTGTTTGTTTCATGTCCATATAAATGAACTGTAGAGTCTTACCAACCTTGACACAGTGTATGTGGTCATTTGATTGTGAAAGCTTTTCAAGAGCATTTTCTCTCCTGCGCAGTTCTTTAACCTCCAGCTCCAGCTGACATATCATGGTACTGGCCTGGAGCTTGGCCGCCCTATAGCTCATCTCCAGCACCTCCATCAGCTCTGCCTGGGAGCGCTCGACTGCAGACACCAGCGCAGAAAACAGGGAAACACTGCCTGCTGTCTCTCGCTCCACCGCCAGCTGGACATTTTAATTCAAGTAAAATATACAGGACTGAATGAAGGTCAGGTAAAACCCTCAAATGTTGGCAATACACCTAAACATGTGGGTAAATACACAAATTATTGGATGGAACCCTGATTTACAGGTTTTACCTACCTCCAGTTCAGCCAGAGACATCCTGATCTCTTCAATCTTCCTGTTTCTCTCCTTGATCATCTCCTGGATCTCCTGCTCTGACACACATAGCTGGGCCTACACACACATTTTAGTTATGAGGACACTCACTGACATAATGCCTAACTTTAACCATCACAACAAAATGCCTAACACTAGCCGTGATCCAATCTAAACCCGATTCTAACCTGAACCCTAAAACCATGTCCTAATCCTCAAACAACCCTCTGAGGTTATGAGGACCAGCCAAAATGTCCTCACAACAATCGTATTGGACTAAAACATAGAAAAACAAAAATATCATATTCTCAAATTTGCCTCAAAAGGCTTCACACAGCATCTTAAGCTAATGTTAGACAAAACCGGTAAAATTACAGCATGGTGAATCTGAATAACATCTTTTGCATGAGACTACTATGGAATTAGATTTTTGCCTTTATTGGTACATGAAAGGACATTTTGAGCAAGACATAACTCGGTATGTGACCCAAACTGTCTGACTACCAAGCTGTTGTGTGCATGCTAATACTCCCAGTGCCTCCCCACTTCCCTTGAAACCAAAAACTGTACTAACCTACTCCGGCTGTCAAAGACTTAAGAGTGTGCACAGCACTATTTTTGAATGAACAACAGAAACACTGTACTTGCTAACCTTCCTCCTTGCAGGATTTAGACACAAATAGTGACTTTATGTCCAAACATGAGGAACATCTTGCTATCATACTGTATGTCAACTATCACTTTCATTGTAACAGTTGGTGCCATGTTGTTGTAGCTATTGTTAAAGTCTCCCCAGAGTCTGAGTGACTCAGTCCGGACATTACTTTGCTCCTTGTCCTCCTCTCTCCTTTGTTTACCTACCTTGACTTCCAACCATTCATCTTTAACAGTTACTGTCTCATGATCCGGATGATCCTCAGTCTCACAATCAGGACAGATACACATTTGATCAGTCCTGCAGTAAATCTGAAATCAGTGAGAGAGTGTTGAGCTGTCAAACATTTATCTGCCAAGAAAACATAAATAATAAGTTACATTAAGAGGAACTCAAAATGATGCATTATTCTTCAATAAAATAAGCTTGTAGAAGTTCAATGAAAAGACATAAAGGAGCACAGGAACCCAAAAGGCTGAATAACACACAGATGTTAGTTTATAATGGAGGTATTTGATGCTTTACCAATATTCTCCTGTGGTGGATGTCACAGACAGGAAGGCTTTGGCTGCTGGCAGCCCCGCTCACAGTGAATCTCCTCCGGCCGCTGGAGCGGTTGAAAGGGGTAGGAGGCAGATCAGGTTCAGTGTTGTGGCTCAAAGCAGCGATTGAACTCTGGTTTGGTACTGAAGAGGCCAGTGAGGTTGTGACCGGTGAATATGATGTTGGTATGACCTCACCTTTCAAGGCAGAAGATAGTGAGAAGAAAATTCAAGTAACTGAAGCGTGCGCTACCTTTGTTATTACTCTAACAGCCTTTATTTTAGAGTTTGTAGTCTGTGTTCAGTCTACCAGATATGAAACTTATCTCAACAGCTACTGAATATGACATTAGAGACAGCAACAGTGTCAAGGTACAGTCTCAAAAAAGTGGATTTGCATCATTGTGTGAAGTTTGTGTAGGTGCACCAAGGTAAGAAACAAAGACGTGAAATATTGACCCATATCTCAAATTACTGTGACACGTTGAACCCCAATTCACAACAATGGAGAAGGTAGCACATCACTCTATCTTACCTTGGAAAGGAGCCTCACAGTTTTGGGTCATCACTGGCTTTGATAGATGTCGACCCACCTTCTTGTTTAATTCATCAAATAAACCACCTGGTGTTCCTCCGTCTCCTCCACCTTTACCTCCTCTCCCAAATCTGTTATTCATCGCCACTCCTCCTCGCATGGATTTAAACTGCTCTGTGATCTCTCGGAGTGTCCTGTTGATCTGGAGAGCTGGTCGCTTCTGGAAGGTTTTCTTACAGAGAGGACACTGGCAGACCTGAAGGAAGAAGGGCAGATGGATAAGAGAGAAGCAAATGAAACAAGGAACCAAAGAAGCACACTAAGAAAAAAAAACATTAAAAGAAGGGGACCAAAGGAACAGTGGAAAAGGCATCTTTACACCATGCCTTGCACATTTATTCACGCACCTGGGATCCATCCCAGTAACTGCTGATGCAGGCCATGCAGAAGCTGTGGCCGCATGGTGTGGATGAAGGGTTAGTGAACAAATCGAGGCATATGGAGCACTGGAACTGCTCGTCAGACAGAAAACTACCATGTAAAGACATCCTACGGAAAGAAAAGAAAGACCATATACAATATAGTTAAATCAATACTGATGATTTTTGAAGTAATAACAGCAGAGTGCAGGTGTACAGTCAGAGTAGAGCCTCCAGACAAGAGCTACCATGTTCATCCAGTACCTTGGTCAAAACCAAAATAACAGGTACGGGCCAGATTGTCATGGCCACTCACTTCTCATTTAGTGCCATCAGGTTACACTTTGACTATGATGTTAAATCTTCAAGCAACCAGATTTCCATTAATTTTACATGGTCCCCATAGTGATGAATCCTCATCCCCTGACCTTTCTAGTAATACATCCACTTTTGGATAACTGGATCTAAAAAGGTGGATTACCATGAAAATTGGTCAACACACATATGCTCTTAAGGGGAGATATTCTTTTATTATTGTATTGCCTCAACCTTAAGACCAACCTTTAATACACAAAATATTAGCTACTGCTGAAATGTAATGTTTTAAAGTTTTCTTTAAAATGGAAATGTGGGAGGATTGCAAGAAAAGAAAAGAAAACAAGGGTAAAGGTTAGGCTTTACGGAGGGAAAGCTGAGAGATGAATACAGGTTATACAATGCACACATACTTTAGATGCCTCCATAAACAGATTAGGATGGTAGAAAGCCTTCAGGAATCAAGCAGGGCAAGATTCTGCCTTACATTATCACGCACAGTACAAACAAAACAAAGTTGATAAAAAAAAAGAAAAAAAAGAAAAACATTTAAAAATGAGTGTAGCTGCAGATTAATCACTACAAGCATCCCCTTGTTTCTACACTGTCATTTGATACATTGTTGTGTACAACATGGTTTCAGCTGCTTTAAAATTAGGACATTATTAGATCATTTTATTCTACATATTCATCTTCCTTCTCACTACATTACCCACAAATCAACTTTGCCACCCACCAAAAGTGCAACTAGGATTCAGACACGTTATGATAACAGAAACTAAAGTCTCTGATATGTAAACCACATAACCACATGCACGTTGCCAAGCATATGAACAGAGCTACACATATCTGAGACCTTCCTGCCAAGAATGACCTGAGCCTTTCAGAATAAAAGTGTTTGAAGTATGCATGCAAGTATGTCAAATAATGTCTGAGCCTTTTGATAGCTAAAGAGGACTCTTTATGAGGTCTGACTTGTTGAAAAGTCAGATATACTTTCTTATTCATGGTCCTGCATCTCTTACTTTCAATGGTATAATGGTAATTTTGAAAGAAAATGAATGAGGAACTTCAGTTTAGAGCTGAAATGATTCGTCATTTTGTTTTTTGCTTAGTCATTTTTAAGAACAAACAGCAAACATTCTCTGGAGTCAGTTACACAAATGTAATTTGCTGGTCTTCTCCATTTCCACCATTGAATAAAATGAGACATTAAAATAATTGTTATGGTCCAAATGGGCAAACATGAAATACTGTAAATACCTTTGTGCAGATGAGATGGTTGATGTAAAAGCTCCAGGGATGTGGTTTCTTGATTGCTCACGCTTACGAAGTGTCTGATTCTCAGGCTGTGACAGATTTATAAACATAATGGTGCGTGTGCACACATGTGTACACAAGGTAAATTTTTTTTTCCTGTGGAAAAGAAAGTCACACCACACCTACCTTCCTGGCAAATGTGGCAGGACAGGTTAAGGTGGGAAAATGATGTATACACACGCAAAGCAGGTCTGTGCCCTGAAACTAGATTTCTACAACCTGGAACAGAGTTTCCTGGAAGCATGGGAACAGATCAGCTTTCTTTAGCAATCAAAAGAAATGCATCTACAGTAGTGAGAGAGGTACCAAGGCAATTGGAGATAGAATGTTGGTACATGATGAGGTACCAATTGGAGATAGAATGTTGGTACATGAAAGTTTTGTACAGTTTCCCAACTTTGGACAAAATCCAGGTGACTTGTAAAACCATAATCTCATAATTACTGTACCAAAATCTGTTATATACAGACAGTTGTAATAACTTCCCCTTGGTCTGAATACAGCGAAAAGTTAACCTGACCAAGACTCAGTGATGGCATGAAGAAGAAATTATTGCCTCTTTTTGTGGGAAATACTTTCTACAAACTACATGTGCCTTTGTTCCCTGTTGCTCACATCTGTGTGTATTTTGAGCTTGTGAGCATTTGTTTGTTTTTCCTGCGCAAGAGTTCGGACCAGTGATCCCTCATTCCTTTTGGCTGATGATGCGAGATAAGCAGACAGTATGTCCATCCATTCCTGAATAGGGTTGCAGTCAACACTGGCCAAAAGGAGGGGTCCACCCTGGTCTGTCACAGGGCTCACATGTAGACAACCACCACACTCACTTCTATGGGCAATACAATATACCTTTATTAGTAATTTAATTTAAAAAGCCAGTCAACAAGACAGGGAAACTTAATTATAATCAAGAATACTTATCTACATCAAAAGATTAAGTACAAATACCAGATATTTGTCAGTATAAGCCAAGTATACATAAGTACAGTTGTGTAGTACGTCACTGATAAGTGCATACAAAGTAAACTCACTTATTTTTAGTTTAATATAAATATACAAATGGCACACTTGAATAAAAGCTTTTTTCACAAAGGAAACCACAATCATTTGTTGACCAAGTCAGAGTCATTTTATTCACATTTTATCCCAAAATGTCACATCTTCTGCAGTTGAAAACACAGATTTTCTCTGCTCTTTTCTTCCTTGACTCATTTCCAGAATGTTCTGTTAGGTAATTATAATACTTTTGATAAATGCATAGGCTATACTGCAATATATTATATTGTGCTGATGCATTACATTTCATAAGATCATCATGTGGTCAACGTAAAATCTTAAAGCCTTTGACCGCCAAGTAAATATTAACACTTACCAATGAACATGTAGAGGAATAGCAGTGTAAAGTCACATAAAAATGAATTATGCAAGTACAGGCATTTGGAAACTGTGCTTCACTAAAATGCTGTTTTGTTTTGTATTAATCTGCTTGTCTTACAGTGACAGATACTAGAAATACCCTACAGTACAAGGACTTATTTACTGATCCACAGTACCAGCTGCGCTTTGACTCTTGCACCTTCTGTACTGTTACACTGACTTTAAGAGCCAGTTTGACAAGGGAATAATTTTGTGTATGGATGGCAGGGACAAAAATGGCCCTACCGATATTTGAGCAAACCTAAATGCATCATTTCTGGAGTGAAGTCATATCTTGTCCTCTGTAGATAATGTTATTCCACCACAAGAAAAGGCCTATATCAAATTATAAGTCAGAAAACCAATGAAAATGTCAATCTTTAACTCATGAGTGTGTTCTAATCCTACATTAGAACAAACTGGATTCATAAGATCCTGTGTTTAAAATTTCCCCAAATGTAAACAAGTCCCAAATAACAAAATAGCCTACAGATCTTAATGTGATTAATTGGGGAGGGGGGTTCAAGCAGGAGGATGATGAGCCCCTACTAGTGTTGACACCAAACGTATGCCTTTGCATTCTGATCACTCTCAAACTCATGTGCATCATTTTACATTATGCATAGAGGTGAGAAGTTAACTAGGGTAAAGTTCAACCTTACAGATCACACCTGTGCAGTGAAATGGTCTTTTAGTCTGGTCCCCACCAAGTATGCTGATGACCCATCCAGCTGTTTGTCTATAATCCCGCTAGCCAATAAACAAACACACACAGAGCCAAAAACATAACCTCCTTGGTGGAGACATTGATCACAACCTAGGGAGTACCCAGAAAATTAAAGTGCACACAAGTGATTCCCACATTGCAAAATAAATTCTATCAAAAGAGAAACACTATTTCACCTATTCACTAATGTAGGAAAAAAAGAGGAATCCATCAACCAGAGCCTCAAACGGCACAGGTGTCTTAAATATCCCTGACCCAAATTGGTGGCGTGGGGAGGGATTAGTTACCAGGAATCAGCGAAAACTAA